CCTGCCCTAAATAAAAAAAAAAAAAAAAAAAAAAAGATGTCTAACAAAGGGACAATAAAAGGAAATACTCAGTTGGATGAGGAGGCACACTCTTTTAGTCCCCAGTACTCAAGAAGCTGAGATGGAAGGATCACTCTGAGTCTACAAGTTTGACACTATCCTAGACAACAGAACAAGTTCTCATCTCAAAAACAAAACAAGGGGCCAGGGAGATTCTATTCTTAGTGGAATAAGTGCTTCCCTGACAAGCACAAGGGCCTGAGTTCAATCCTGGTTCCACAAAAAAAAAAAAAAAAAAAAAGGTTAGGGACATATAGCTCAGTGTGTACAGTGCTTGCCTAGTGTGAATGAGGCTCTAGGTTCAAATCCCAGCACCAGAAGGTTAAAAAAATTTGTCAAGCATGGTGGTGCACATCTATAACCCCAGCACTCAGGAGGCTAAAACAGCCTGGGCTATAAACAATTTTAGACCAGCCTGGGCTATAAAGCAAAATCAAGGCAAGCCTGGACTACACAGCAAGATCCTCAGTCAAACAAAACAGAAGAGAAAGTGTTAAAACAAAGGACTATGTGTCTATGTATATGATACAGTATTGCTAAAATAGATACATCATGCCAAACAAAAGGGCCAGAACTCATCTCTGGCACCCAGAAAAGGTCATCATATTCACAATAAAATATTTTTGCATATCTAATAACAAAATGGATTTTTGGGTAAAGAGCACCCAAGAACCATCAGATAAATAAAAAGATGGAAGAAGATAAGTATAATAAAACTTGAAGAGATTGCATCTTAAGACCGAAAGACTAGAATTCTGAAAAATGTTTTTCCTAGGTTTAAATCCAAAGTACAGCCAAGGGTCACAACTGTAAATTTAGGATATGTTCTCTTCTGTGCTAGCTCAGTTTTAAGAAGCAGAATGTAATTATCTAGTGGCTGATATGTATGGTGGAGACAGTTTGGCTGACCTACTCTGAAGCCTCCAGTTCTGGCTGCCATTAGCAATAACTTTGTTTGTGGTATGGTATCCTCTGCCTTGGAGGATCAAATAGCTACAGAAAAAAGAAGGGCAGGGATATGAGCTGGGGGTGATTCTGGGATTGTAATTCAATTTAGAATAACAAGTAACACAGATAGCTAGAATAACAATCATAGAGGCACACATATGACAACTTTTACAGACCTTAGAAACTACTGGCACACATCATTTAAAGTGGGGTTCATGGGGCTGGGTATATAGCTTAGTGGCTTAAGCACCAGCCTGGCAAACACAAGGCCCTGAATTCGATCCTTGGTACTACAAGAAAAAAAAAAGTGGGCCTCATAAGAACTCCCCTCCTCTTCTTGGAGGGATGGTAAAAAATCTAATGGAAGTTTTTCCTTCTGCTTCTATCCCATCTGCATTCCAGCAGGTGATCTTGGTTCACAAACAAGCAGACAGCAATGTCATAGACAGCCACATCTTTACCCTGCTGTGAATGTTTTTATGCAAAGACAGATGCTCAGGGCTTTAGGAGAGACCTGCTGACAGGAGACTTCCACATGTACTGTTCATGTGTTTTTGATAAACAGGAATCCTGCCATCTTAATCTTCACTATAGACATAGATGAATGGCAGAACAGATGATGCTTGCCTGGGAAGAGTAGTATTAAACCAGACCACAAAAGAATAGAAAATTAAACCTGATGCTGACCAACTTCCAAGACCACCCTCCCTAAAGATAAATATTGATGATCTTATTCCCTAACAAGATTTCAGAAAGGTTTAAATAAGATTATAAATCATTTTTAAAGGTTTTCAGATTTTTAAGACAATATGTCAGACACTAAGCATGCTTGTTCCTACTCTCTAATCTGAAGTATACTCATTCAGCATCATCTCAGTATCCTTATTCAGAAAAATACCAAAGCACAGTACTCTGCACATGAATGGGAAGAGTTCAAGAACAGCAATGCAACCTCTGACTTAGCAAGTGGAACATGAGTGAAGAGGCCATGAGAGGCCACAGCAGGAGAAGCACATATGCTGTGAAGGTAAGGAAGCCCAAAAGAGGAACATTTGTTAGTGCCCCAAGTGTGCAGAAGATTCCAGGCTGTTATTTGCCTTACCTGCCTTTCTGAACCCAAAGGAACTATAAGAAATGTGACTGCGTAATCCTTTCACTTCCCTTCTAGTTATCAAGCTAAGGAAAAGGATTAAGGCAAAGACATTAAAACTGGCTGGTACATTTCCTAATTTTTCATTTTTTTTTCCCTCCTCAGAGCAAGAAAGGATGAGAGAAAAGGCAACCACAAGTAGCAATCAACTTATGGGAGAGAAAGGCAGAAAAGGAGACAGAAAAGAAATAAACAGACAGCGAATCACTACCAACCAGCCAACAACACACTCTGCCAGGAGACCTGGACTACTAATGTAGTGGTGACTAATCCACAGCGGCTATTGAAAACAAAACTATGATCTGTATCAGCCCCAGAAGAAAGGCAAAAAGCCAAGGGAGGGACATTGGGAGGGCATTAGAGAAAGTGTCCATTGTTACTAACCAGGGAGTGATACAAGACCCCTGAGAAAGAACAAGTAAGCCAAGGCACGACAGATGAATACAATGTAAAATCAGGTCATGCTGAAGCTAGGGGGAGGTGAGTGCACAGGTGGGCTGGGGGAGCACGGGGAGGAGGCATCTGACACAAGAAGATCGAGGGGGAAGGAAGGGAGAGCGAGGAGGTGGTAGCAGAAGAAAGAAAAGGTAAGCCAAGAACAGAACACTTTAAGCTAACCCAGAACTCCACTGTGAAGGACAAGTCACGAGGCAGGATCCAGTGCAAAAGGCATGAGCTCCACATTTTACCACTGCTAAGAGACAGCACAGCCTCCTGAGCTCATGTGGAAAGAGGTCTAGACAATCCACAGCAATGACTGGCAAGCACCACAGGACTCCTGAAAGTCACCCAGGCTCTCAGCAGCACTAAGTGCCAGGAGCCTCAGCATGTATGCTTTTTTCTGTGTTTTGGTTTTTGGGTTTTGTGTTGGGTTAGGAATCAAACCCAGGCTTCACACATGCTAAGCAGGCACTCTACCACTGAGCTGCATCCTTATCCTCTTGCCATGATGTTTACATTGCTTCCCTGAATGCACCCAGGTGCTAAAAAACATATCACTAAGATATCTGCCTGGCTAAAGGATATATGCATCCTTCTTGCCCGAGTAGACAAACGGAGAAGGAAACAGGCTGAGGGTCCTCTCCTTATTCCACTGGGCACACACCAGCTGCTTCAGGCCATTCCTGAATTTCCTGCTCACTTTAATCTTTCTAAAACAAGCCTATCATCTACTCTTACTTTTGCTTCCAGTATGCAAATGGTAGTAAATTTAACAGAGGCATCAGGAAGGCAAAGCTGTCCCACTTTCTTAGTCTTTTCTGGCAAAGAGATCTGAAGCTCTGTTGCATGGTGACGTATGAAGAACTATCCATACTGCTAAGCAAGAGGGAGAAGGCTGAGGGGAAGTTTAGGTCTTAAGAACCCAGACCTATAAAGACTACATGGGTAGCAGGAAGAAAATGACTTGACAAGAATGCCTAACCAGGGGCTGGAGAGATGGCTCAGTGGTCTAAAGCACCTACTTGGAACAAGCTTGGCAAAGCACAGGGACCGCGGTTCGATCCTTCAGCACCACATGCCAGCCAGCCGCGCCCCCTGGTGGGCTGAGCTGGCCACACACACACACACACACACACACACACACACACTAAATAAATGTTTAAAAAAAAAAAAAGAATGCCTAACCACCTTCCTTTTTTTGGGGGGGGGGGTCATTTTGAGACAGAGTCTTACTATACAATTCAGGCTGGCCTTGAACTCAATTTGCAGACCAGGCTAGCCTCAAACTTGCAGCAATCTGCCAGCTGCTAGGACTACAGGCTTGTGCCACTGCTCCCAGCCCAACCACCTTCTTGCTCTTTTGTTTTTCATGGCTGAAACTATCTAAATACAAGAATCAGATCAAAAGGCAAATGTCCAATTAACACAAATCAGTAAAACTCAGTTTCAGGCTAGAAAAAAATACAACGAATGACTAGAAAGGTCAGCAGCAGATCAGGGAATGCAAAACCCAGCAGTAAGTTCAGGGAGTCTAAATTCTGGGCTGATTCTGCTCCTGTGGCTTACTCAAGTGCCACTCAAAAGATGAGGAAGATGAGAAGGTGGGAGGAGAAAACATAGGCCGCACAGAATTACATCCCCCCCCCATTCATCTGACATTTTGAGATTTCTGACACTCATTTGTTAAAGGATCATTGTGAAAGTAGAAGCTAGAAGACAGAGATTTAGTCGAGAGAGTAGGGACTTAAGGGTCAGTCTGATCAAGCTTTTGACACAAAATATCTACCATTTAGGAAAACCCCAAGTATTTAAAAAAAAAAAAAAAATGCTGCCAGGGAGATAACTTAGCAGTATAAACGCCGCCTAGCAAGCACAAAGTCCTGAGTTTGATCCCCAGTACCAATCAATCAATCTAAAATGCTGGGTATAATGGAACACATATGCCATCCCAACTTTCAGGAGGCTGAGGCAGTCAAATTCTATAAATTCGAGGTCAGTTTGGGCTACACAGCCGTCTGGGCGAAACACAAAGCCACGGAAGAAAGAAAGAGCGAGCAAATACGAATCTCCATATCTACTCTGCTTAAAAGAACACACATCAACCTTCCTGATGTTGTGCAGTCTATGAAAAGTATTACCAGGTCCCCAGGAAAAGGAATACAAATACTGCTCAACTGGCTCAGGACACAGTGGACCATCTCTTCCCAGAGGCACCAGTAAATCACCAATGTGTGGGCTCCACGTGAGAGTTCTTGGGGCCCATGAGCCCTAAGCCCTCACCCCATCCTGCTCCTCAGGAACACTAACTTAGGGACTGGAAGCAAGAATGCTCACCAGTGCCCAACTTGGAAACACACAGCTCAGGAGAAGAGGGGAAAAAGCAAGCTGAGCATGTACTTACTCAAAGTCCTCAAATTCCAGTTCGGCTCCCTCTACTGATGGACCCTGGTTGTCTGAGGAAGAGGAGGAGGTGGAAGAGCGGAGACGGTTCTGTTGGTAGCGCATGGAACGCTGGCGAATACTGTCTCTCCGTGAGAGATACTGGATCATCCTCTGGGCGTAGTATGCAGCAGGAGATAATCTAAGATAGAGATGGAGAAACAAACTAGCGCTAATGTGGGAATACTGTACTATGAATGGCAGTAAACCAGCTCTCCTGTGGCATCACCCTGCTAAGGCAAACTCTGGATACATGAAAAATGAAGGGCATTTAACTCACCAGCAGGGTGGTACTGCAAACTGTGTTTATGAGATTATCATAGGTAATTCTGTTCTCTAAATCTTTTCTCTTTCTTTTTTTTTTTCCCCTTTGAGACAGGGTCTTGCTATGTAGTACAGGCTGGCCTTAAACTTATTTATATAGCCCAGGCTGACCTCAAACTTACAGTGATCCTTCTACTTCACCCTCCTGAGTACTGGAATTATAGGACTGCACTACCATGCCCAGCTCACCACTGGCTCTGCTCTGAGACTAGGCAAACAGGTAGTTTAATCAGGCATCTATTTATCAAACTGCCTAACCCAAGAGAATTAACACTGGGCCTCCAGATGAACTTCTCAGGGTACCCTTAAGCAGATTCATAGCTTGTCCTTGATCATCACCATCTTTATGCAAAATATAAGAAATAAAAAGAACCTGGGTCTTTCATTTTATAGATGGGGTAGGAGATGGAAACCTTTACATGATTAAAAAAGTTACATGATTAAAAAGAGATATAGCATATTCACCAGGACTTCTTTCTTCTCCAACAAATACACATTTGTACACTGGAGAAAATATTCAGGACAGGGACTGAGAGTACTAGGAAAAAAAAAAAAAGAGAAATTTTTCTATTCTTACAACCAGTGCTTTGGCTCCACAGGCACATCTCTCTTACCTGGGCTCTTCCAATAACCATTAGCCTAGACTTACATCTTCAAACCAAAGCCATAGCATTTTGACACTCCCTGACAACTTCTAGTGTAGCATTCAATTCCTACATCTCATCCCTTGTTTCTCAAGTGTGCCCTCCTTCTCTCACAACACTGTTACATAATTTGAGGCTATGAACTGAGAACACAAGAAAACAATGGCAGAAAAATGTTTTTATATGATAATATTAAGAGGATTGCTAAGCAATTCCAAGATGCAAAGCCTGAGGCATACACTCTGGTTTAATAATTCCATTAGGATTTTTATCCTACAGAAACATACAAGAATACACAAAAAAAAGTTAATCTGCAACATTGTTATCATTTGTGAAAAACTGGGAAACAACCCAAATGCCCCAAAACAGAATAAATTATATCTACACAAAGAAACACGAGAATAAATTATCCCTATATATTCACAAGGAAAGGTCTCTAAAATAAATTTAAATGGGGAAGAGGTTTAAAGAATGGCATTATACACTAATATGTACAAAAATATAAATATTTCTGTAATCAAAGAAGGCCTAAAAAGGTAAAAATCCTAATGTGAATTTCTGGAGATTTTATGCTTCTATAGTCTTTGAATATGAAAAGGAAAAATCTATGTATTTTCTGTTATTTTTTCATGGAAAAATAGTGATACAAACAGGTGTATGCAAAGGGCACAGAAAAATTTGCTGTCATGCGTGGTGTCACAGGCCTTTAATCATAGCCAGGAGGAATATGTTGAAGTGCTTGAAGCAGGAAGAATGCAAGTTCAAGTCTAGCCTGGTCAACTAATTGAGACCCCCTCAACCCTCCCCCCATCTCAAATCAAAATCAAACAAACTCAAACAACTAAAGAATTTGCAACCTGACTTCTGGACCCTAAGGCTTTTTCCTCAGAAAGTCTACCCCCATGCCAAAGGTGATCTGGCAGTCAACTCCTACAGGAACAGAGGCAGTTTCTGAGATGCCTGGCAGCAAGCATGGTATCCTTCTGGTCAACCACCAAATGGCATTCCTGAGCAGGCAGCTGGCAATCTGTGGAAAGTCTGTGATAGGGAATGATACGCTGCACTGTGCATTACTGAATCCAAATGATCTCTGTAGAGCAGGTGGGCATGGGATGCACAGATACCCGAGCCAAAATAATCACATCACCAGAACAACTCCTTCCCAAAAGCCTCAGACGGTGAGATTTTCTTTTCCATTTCAGCCCTTGTTCCCATGTTTTATAAGGAAAAATCACAGAAGTCAATGTGCTTAAACTGTTCTATTTATACAGAAAGTGTCCAGCAGAAATCAATTTAAGTATTGATTAAATTCTTAAGCCAATCAGAATAGAAAAAAATGCAACAGAAGAAAAGTTTAAAAAGGAGAAAGATTTTTTTTTTTTAACTAATTCTAAAAAGTGACAAGTTCACTCATGCCTTGGTTTATAGCCTACCTTAACTAAGAAAAAGAATAGTATTACTGGTGATTGTGGTAGAAATGATGCTGATGATAACAAAGACTGACCTGTCCCTATTAGTCAGGGACATAATTTCAGCACTAGGTAACCATAGTTGCATAATATCATTATAGGATAAGAATTTTCCACACTTCCTTAATGATTAAGGAAGAAAAAAAGAAAATATTCCTGACATTCCAGTCTTGTCCTTCACAAGTTGCTGAGTGCTAAGTAGATGACTCACAAATGACTTTGTCCTATGTGTATAGCATAGTGTGAAGCCTAAGAAAAATAAGTAACAGGCAATAAAGTGATAACAATCATTCTACCGAAGTGTAGGAAAACCACCAAACAACTCCACAATGTTCCAAGTGAACACCATAAATGTTTAAATGAATTCTCAATTTTTCTTCAAGAAACTTTCTCCTCCTAAAACCTTATTTGTGCTTAAAGTGAAGATATAAAAATACCAACACCATGAAGTATGAGGCTCTAGACAATAAAGAAATCAGAGTAGGAATAAATAACAGATTCTATGAAAAAGAGAACAAATAATGGTTTGTAACAATCACTGCTGAATTTTGCCTGGTCAAGATTTCTGGGCATGAAGACAACCTAAAAAAGGAAATTTATAGTAAAAAAAGTTTTCTCAGTGTGTCAAAGTATTTTACTCATGTGAAAAATGTCCATTATTAGAGGTTTAGAACTTTGCAACATACTTAGAGGCTAACATATACTTCCTTGCGTCACTCATCATCTAAGTTGCCCACCTGTTCGTAAACGGAGTGTAGAAAAGAGGATAGCAGGATCTTTCCACTAGGCTGTGAGAAAGCATGTGCAATGTCATGACACAACTGTGGCAGCAACAACACTATTTAATATCCCTGGAATCAACTTCATCAAAAGATGTTCCCAAGTGGACATGAAAGCTTTAATCTAGAGCTAAGCTCATTTAGTTTTATCTGGCCACCCACACGGCTAACGTTCCAACCTCAAGAGTATAAATCACTTCTTTTGGCAAAGCCTCACAATATACTCCGATATTGGTTAAATGTGCAGGCTCTGCTTTTTTAGATCACTACCACAATTAGTAAATCCAGCTACAACAGCTGCAAGGGGCTGCTCTTTGCAGATAAATGTTAACAACTCAACATCTCGTCTTTGGTTCTATTACAAACATCAGGGAAAGATGAGCCTGAAACTCTTTTAAGACAGGGTTTCACTATGTAGTTCAGGCTGGTCTTGAACTCACCATGTAGTCCAGGCCTGCCCTGAACTCACAGCGATCCTCCTACCTCAGCCTCCCAAGTGCGCAACACACACGCCTAGCTGAAAACATTTTTAATCTCTTCAAGAACTTTTCAAATGTCTTAACTGAAGCGCTTTAAAAAAACTTGTTTTATTCATTCTCTCTTCACTCTTTTCCTTCACATAACTGACAAAAACTCAATAATCAAGGGAGACTGACTCCTGCCCTTTGATATTATAAATTCTCTCTCAAATGACCACAAATAGAATTTTGGTTCATTTAATTTTTAAGTTTTTTCCCTACAAAATATCTTTTAAAAGTCTGCACCCCTTTTGGCTGTCCACAAACTCATGGCAGTAACTTGGGCCAGCAAGAAAGCGTATCCTGTGATGGCTTGTGGCCGCCACAAACTCCTCTAGTGCCCCACTGACAGAAGGGAGCCCCCAAAGGACAAGAGCTCAGTTAGAACTCTGTCACCAGCAGTGCAGTTCACTTACCTGCAACACTTCCCAATCACCTGAACCACCTGTCTCAAAACTGTGACTGAAAAGCAAAGAGCACCAGGCCCAGAGAGGCACTGAGAGGGGTTCCAACGACTTGGCAACTCCAAGGGCCACCCCTCCCCCCACCTAGTGTCATTTCTCACTTTGGCCTTACCTCGCTGGGTCTGGGTAAATTGGGTGCTCTCTGGATCCTGCTCCATCATAACGGGATAATGAAATGAGGGAAGACTCCAGCAGCCTCCTAGCAGAGATTAAAAAAATGGCAATAATCCCTGTCAATTACCAACTCAAGAGGTCATTCATAAGGGACAATGGGGGAGAGATAAATGACATCCCCCTTTGTAGCCAGCTAATACCTGTTATTTGAGATCACACCCTTCCAACAAACTAAGTATGTAGAGACCTAAATAAATGAAGAGCTACAGAGCTCCCATACTGGATGTGGCCACTGTGTCATGTTAAATACTGTTTCTCAGAAATGAAAAAGTGTCTCAGAACCATGAGCTTACTGCTGCTATGCACAGTATTTCAAATGGACAAATAAGAGGCTGCTATCAATACAAGAAGAGAAATCAGGTATGCACAGATTACCATGTAGTGCCAACATGTATCTTGGCATTCAGGTCCTCCCTGTCACCATAATCCATACCCCTATCTTCTGCTTATTCTGCTCAGCCCACATCTTTTTGTCAGGAAGTGTATTGTTCGGTTTCTCTCAACAACTGACAAAAAACCTTTACTTGTATGACCTGGTCTAATCATAAATTCAACTGATCACATGTGATACACATACACACATTTTATTGAGCACTTTTTGGGCCAGGCAATACACTAAGTATTTCACAAGTACTTCTTTATTTAAACTTTCACTGTGACCTGGAGGGGTGAGCATTACTATGTCCTCAAGAACACTGGGTCTAGAGGTGTAAGATGCTGTGGCATAGCTATTAAGTAATAGTTCTAGGACGCCAGTGAAAGCTTGTCTTATGTTTCAAACCTCTCTATTGTACTGCAGGGGCTTCCTAACTGCCGGTAGGAAAGACATGCCAGCTCTATATATCTATGGTGAGCAATGGACATTGGCAAAGAAAAAGATATGTATCCTATCACTCAGCTCCAGCCAATTGTTACCAAGCTACAGGATCAGTATCACTGGCCTTCCTATTTAAGGAAAGCCATAAACCTGGACTTTTGCATGAAATCTTCTGGTTGTTAAATTTAAGCAATATATATACTTTTTCTTTTCATATGACAAAGGCCAATTGAAAAACATCTGATAAATGTGGCCCAAGGCCTCCCTGTCTGCCACATCTGTCACACCTCAACCCCTCTGGCTTGGCAGCCAACCAAGCTCCTGCCATGGGAACAGGTTTCAAAAGTTGTCTCACAAAGAAATGTATATTGCTTCTCTCAAGCGGCATCTTGCCTAGCTTTCCCAAGAACAGGTCTTCAGCTCCCTGCCAGACTCTTCTTTAAAGCAGATCTGGAGAATAAGGACAGCAGCTACCGATCTTTTCCAATTGAGTTAATTTAATTCAGTGTTATTAAAACCAACTGGCTTTAGGTATAGTCAGTCATGTGCAGTCACTTTATCCCAGCAACTGGCCCACAGCAGCATTTCCCAGGACAGCCTGGGAAAAGATAAAACCAAGGTCCTATTTACACTGGCTTACAACCTTTCATGTCCAGGACAACCAACTGTTAAATGATGCTTTCCACCCAGATGTGGCCTATGTGCCACACTCAAAACTATCCTATCTTGGATGGGGAGAACGTAATGCAATTGATGAGGAAAAAAAGCAGTAACACTGTTCCCTTTTGGTAGAATACCTGAGTCTTAAGGTAGCACTGTAGCACTGTTTACAGAACAGCAGTGCTGTGCTTTCTCTACCTTGAAACACATTTTCCCCCACTTTCTAATGTGTTAGAAATTAGGATGCATCTTATAATTGTGTGACACATTATAATTGGCAGGATTTTTTGCCCTTTCTTCAGTACACAGAAAATAATAGCCTATCTTTGATTCTTTGAAATACAAAGTGTGAGAAACAGAAAAAGTGAAAGGTACACAGACTGGAGAGAAAAAGGCAAAACTTTGAGAACAGTATTCAGGACATTTATGTCATCTCTTTAAAACTGTATTTTCAACTGATATGTAAAAACAAAATTATGCACATTATTAGGGTACCAAGTAAGTATCTCAATAAAAATGCACATTGTATAAGGTTTATTTATTTTTTAAATGTATTTAGTACAAGGTCTACAGGGTCTCACTATGTAGATCGGACTCATAGTGATTCTCCTTTTTTCAGTCTCCCAAGCGCTGGGATTACAGGCACGTGCTACCACGCCCAATATCTGTGTAAGGTTTAAATCAGGTTAGACATACTGATCTATCTCTCTCAATAGGTATCATTTCTAATATAAAAACTATCAAAATCCTTTCCTTTAGTTTTTTGAAATGTATATTACTGTTACCTATAGTCACTTTACTGTACAAGAACTCATCAGAGCTTCCTACCTCTAACTATAATTTTTTTTTCTATCTAACTTAACAGAATAAAATGGCCAACCTGTGTCAACTTATATAGTACTGATTCATTCCCAGAGAACTAGTTCTTTGGGAGTTGAAGAACAGAAGCAAGACTCAGGAGCAGCTGGCTGCCGAAATGCTCTGTAGTTAACCCTGAGTATATCTGAACCTGTTGTATCACCTCCAAACAGCTGCTAAGTAAAGCAGAGTCCCTTTGGTGAGAAGCATTCTCCAGAGTAGCCAAAATCTACCCTTAAGAGCTTCGGCTGGGCAAATGAACCTGGTATGGGAGGAGGTAAATACTACCCCCAACTATGTCAAGGTGATGACAGTACTGAAAGAGGTAACTTACCACAAGTGTGGTAAAAGAGATTTCTAAACTGGAATAATTTGTATTAGATAATTTTAATTTTAACAATTCCATTTGACAATCCTGCAAAGACTACTTCTCACCCTACCAATCTTAATCTTTCTGTCTTAATTTGGAAGACTTCTTTACAGAGTAGAACCAAAATGTTGAGCTTTGTCTCTGGGGAGTCCCTGATGAGGTTCTTTTCTCTCTTGTGCCTACTTACTATACAACCTGTTGCCACCAACAGATTGACACCTGCAGACAATGTACAGCAGGCTGGCAAGCCATATATATGGCATTTTAACTGCTGACACGCAAAGTCAAGAGAGCCAATGGGAGCAAATTACTCACGAAACAAATTCTACACATATACTATCAGGAGTAAAGTAGACTTCTTCTATTGGTGTGAAATAAAGAAACAACCAGAGTTACTAGACAGAAAACTCCACCATTCTTTTAAGACTCTCAATGCAAGCTCTTCTCCCAGTGTTAGCTTCCTACAGACAGCCAACAGTGGGAAATAGCACAAGAAAATTGAATGAGATGGTAGCTGTGCTCCTTCTGCTCCGGCCCCCACAAATGTGACTTGGTGTAATAATCTATCATGCAGTCTGATAATGTGAAATCAGGAAGGGCTGAGGGAGGGCTCAGCTAAGCTTGCTCAGGATGAAAGCTGCCATTGCATTCTGACCTGTAATCTCAATTAGGAAATGTTCTAAAAAGTCACTAAAACTCTGACAGAAAAAAGCAAACACTCTTTTCTCTACCAGAGTTGCTCATGGAAGGCACACCAAGAGTTGTGCTATTCTGATCCACTGAAGAGCAGAAAAATTACAATTTACATGTTATGTGTAGTCATAATGTACACAACACACAAAAGGATTACTCAGAAGCCTTTTACTAATAAAGGCACATCTGAAAAGTCTTGAAGGCCATTGCTCTTAAAAAAAACCTTATATTACTTTAAAAATACTGAGGGTCAGGGGTATAACTCAGCAGCACAGCATCTGCCTGGCAAGCGCAAGGTCCTGAGTTCAACTCCCAGTACAAAAAAAGGATATTCAATACTTAATATACAAAATATAGACTATATAAACATAAGCTTAAACATATAAAAGTGGAGCCATATTCATAGGTAGAGAGAGCAAAATAAATGATGAAGCAAACATGACAAAACGATAGCATACAGCATTTAGGGAATGTGGGTGAAGGGTAAATGAGAATTCTTTGATATTTTTGCAAGTCTAAAGTTATTTTAAAACTAAAAAAAAGAAATTCAACATACAAAATATCTCAAAGAAAAATAATGGGAAAGAGGTAGCAATGGGCCAGGCATAGTGATACATGCCAGTAATCCCAGCATTTGGGGAGGCTGAGGCAGGTTTGCTGGAGTTCGAGGCCAGCATAGGCTATATAGTGAGCTCAAGGCCAGCCTAAACTACATAGCAACACTCTGTCTCAAAAAACAAGCAAAAATGGTAGCCATTCATTTCAAAAGAATTACTTCTATAAAAGATTTTTTGAAATACTAACTTGTCCTTAATGTTCTAAAGAAGGTTTGGTGAACTGCAGGCTAGGACAAGTTAACTATTTTATTGTTGTTGTTGTTGTTTAATTGTTAACAGCCATAGTCCAGATCCATTCATTTACATATTACCTGTGGCTGCTCTGGAGTTTCTAAGGCAGAGCTGAATAACCATAATGACAAATCCTAAACTATTTACCTAGCTCTTAGAATAAAAGATTTGCCTGCCCCACTGTAAAATATTTACTTACACAGTGGCACCTCAGTTCACAAAACCTTTTGTTTGCAAATAATTTGGTTCACAAACAGAAAGAGCAAAATTTTGCTTTCAGTTGCAAACTGCAATTGGGTAATAAACAATAAAAAGGACATCTTTCCTGTACAAACACACATGGCTATCATTTCCAAATTCATAGAATAAATTTAAGTTTATGAAACAAAGAGGAATAACTAATGACTGAATTTTTTTTTAAAAAAACCTAGAAATCAAGTTTTATGCATTGAAGTCACTAAAAATGATTACTGGGTTGGGGATATAGCTAAGTGATAGAGTACTTGCCTAACATGAATAAGGCCCTAAATTTGATCCCCAGCATTTAAATTTTTTTTTTTTTTTTTTTTTTTTTAATTTAGTACAGGTTCTACAGGGTCTCACCACACAGATCAGACTTGTAGTGATTCTTCTGTTTTCAGCCTCCCAAGCGCTGGGATTACACATATGCACCAATACACCCAGTCTCATCTCAGCCGGGCTGGCACAGCATGCTGTGGATCAAACCCCAGCCCCTGCCTAAGCATGGACTTTAATCCACTGAGAGCTATCTGGCCAGC